GTATTTTCTCATGGAAATTAAAACTTCATCGACCTAGCTAGCACTCTTGATTCACAATCTTTAGCACAACCCCCACCAACTATGTAGAGTTGCAATTTGGCTTTGAAAACTTGTAGGAATAAAAAACTCACGCAATGTGTATATGGTCCCATTCCTAGCTATTTCATAAAAGATATGGATCATAGTATTATTTTTTCGTTTCTTACTACTTGTGTTAGGCATGGCCACATCCCTCCCTCAAAGATTCTGAAAAGTTTCCATAAATTAACTCAAAAATCTTCTTCGTCAATTCAGCAAGGTCTCGTGCTAAAAGTTTGGGGAAAGAGGAAAGAGTATTTGGGGATGATGATGCTTAACATTTTCCATCATGCATTACAGAATTCATGTAAAGGGAGGAATTAACAACAAGAAGGGACTCCAGATTTCAATTTCTTTTTCATCACCACCTCACGTGCTAACAGCTAATGTATCATAATATATATTTATCTTCTTCTTTTCTTTTCTTTTCTTTTCTTTTTCATTTTTCTGTTACCGTGGTTTTGTATGAAAAAGTGGCATGGAATCAAATTTTCCTTCGCTATTTTTAGGGAAACTTTTGAAATATGAAATGCAAGATATATAAGTCAAACAAAAATGCAGAGTAAAGGAGAAAACTTTAATGGAATAGATAGACACTATCAATAGGCTGATATAACATGATATTGCTAAGAGACTTTTATTTTTATTTTTTTAAGGTGAGGAAAATAAAGTCTAACCTTAATAAAGTGAATGGGTTTGTACAGTTGTTAAGTATTTTATGTTTATAAATTATATACTTAATAGAGAATGTTTCATGTTTAATTTATATAATATGTAAAAATTTGTTCGTTTGAAGAATTGTTAACAAAATTAATTTTTTAAATCAAAGAATATGTAGAGTCAGTTAAGACAATGGGACTAAGATGATGTATAATGAAAATAAGCATGGGTTTAACAAATAAAGAATGGAAACAAGGTGAAAAGAATGGACGCTATTAGAATATAGACTCAGTATACCAATAAATGAAGACAACCAAAGTAATAAAAAAACAGAGAAAAAGAATTTTTTAAATGAATAAAATGAATGAAATATGATATTAAGAAAAGAATGGTACACAGTATTTATAATGGTGAGAAAAGAAGTAAATATGGAAAAAGAAAATTTTTGCTTAAATGTTGAGTCAAATGTACTAAATAAAAGAAACAATTTATTATGGAATTTTTCAAAAGGGTAATATTATTCACAAAGGAAATGAGAGTACAATTTATCAAATACATAGCATGAAGAATAACATAATATCAAAACTAAAGAGTAATCTTAGATTAAAACAATAGTTCATGGGTGACATTTATAATATATTGATGTTTTCTCTCAACAATTTTATTTTGTTCATGTGTTTCAACAAGAACTTGATGAATGATTATCTTAATATTGAAGTAATCTTCCTATCAAATTAACTTTATTGTCAGACCTGACATATTGAATGATTTTATGAAATTAGTTCTCAACCTATTCAACAAATTTCTCTAAAAGATTACGTGTTTCAGATTTTAGTTTAATAAAAAGAAAACCAAGTAAATTTATTGTGATCATCAACTATAATGAGAAAATATTTATGTCCATATAATGAAGTATCTGGACAAGGACCTTATATATTAATGTGAACAAGATCAAATAATTTCTCCGCATGAGATTGACCGATGAGAAAAGGAAATTTATTTTGTTTAGCAACATGCATCAACACAAGTTTCTTTTTGCTACGTATGTATGAAAATTTATATTTCATTATATCAAGTCTTTCAAAAGATGGATGACATATTTAGTTCTCACATATGTATTCACGTAACTTGATTTACCAACATTTGATTTAAGAATATATAATTCATCTTTGGCTTCAACTATATAAATCATCTTGTTAGTCTTGTTGTCTTGTATGATGCAGTAAGTTGAAGAAAAAAACTAGTTGACAATTGTTATTGGATGTAAAAGCTTGGATGCAGAAATTATGTTATATGTGAATCCATAAATGCATAAAATGTCAATGAGAAACAATTTATTACTAATCTTTACAACTCCCCTTCATAGGAATGGAGACAGAGTGTACAACCTAGGAAATAATCATATTATTATATTGTTTATAGGCAAGATGAGTAGGATCATCCTTGGCAGGTTCGGAAGCAGTCTCATCAAAAAATTCAACTTTATTTTTTGCATTAAGGGCAATGAACATAGATATGCTCCAAGAATGATACTTATTGGTATCAAGAACGTGAGAAACCAAACTGATAGCAAGGTTCTCATTGGGACGAATGTATAAGAATTTGTTTAAAGAGAGAGAGTAATGAATTCCATGTTACTATAAGAAAGAAACAAAAAAAGTGATTATAGTTTAGAGTATTTAGTAGAGCTCTTCTTTAAAAGCTCTAATATCATAACAAATAAAGAATCAAACAAGATGAAGAATGAATACTATTAAAACACAAGTACAACGAATCATAATAGTAAATGAAGAAAAATAGAACAACCAGAAAGACAAAAAGAAAGAAATTTATCCAACTGAATAAAATGAATGAGATATGATATTAAAAAAGGAATGGTACACAATTATATATTGTGAGAAAAGAAATAAAATAGAAAAAGAAAATTTTTGCTAAGACTTTAAGTCAATTATACTAAAGAAAAGAAACAAAAGACAAGAATCATAAAGACAATAAAAAAAAAGTTAAGAAGATTAGATGAAAATGAGTTATAACGTGAGAATAAGTGTATCGATACAATATTTTTTTTATACACTAAAATCATTTTCACAAGTTAAAAAGTTTCTTATTTTCAAATACCTTAAATTTAATATACGTGAATGAATTAGGGTTTTTTTTTTTATGTGAGAGAGATAAATAAAAACAAAATTTTAAAAAATTATCCATGAATTCAAATTGTAACATTTATAAGTTAAAAAAATTAGAAAAGTAATATCAAAGAGTGTCGATAAATTAATTTTAATTTTGTTCTAAATACTTATGAAAGAAATAACTGGTCCAAAAATATTATCAATATTTTTTTTTTATGTTTCACATATAAAAAAATTCAATAACTAAACTCGGTCTAAATAATTAGAGATTTAGTCATATATTTAAATTTCATTGTTGTCATAGTAAAAAGAAAAACATAAATCCTTTATAAATTTATTAAATTTAACTAACAAATCATAGTTTTAAGTTTGCATGAATTTTTCGACATGCCCCGATTAAACTTTGGAGAAAAACTAAACATTTTACTTATTAAATTAGTTAGCGATCCATTATATGCTGAATAAACAAATATTTTTATTAAATTAAACATATTTCTATATGCATTCTATATCATATAACAGTAAAAAGAAAAGGAAATAAGAGAAAAAAAATCTTATCAACCAAAATTGAAAAAAAAAATACTATACATATATCTTATGTTATTTTACATACATCACTAAAAAGAGTATATCATAGAGTTAATTACTTGAATAATGTGAAATTAATGATATTTTTATTCTTATTATCTAACATTTGTCGTGACTTTAACTTTGACGTTTTTAGAGATGAAAAAAAAAAAGGTCAAGATTATTCCTTATTTTTTCGATTCATTCTCTTTTGTATTCATATCCCTTGTATAATAATCCTGTACTTTTACTTAAACTTTTATTTATTATTTATTTATGTACTTCTTCTTGGACATAAAAGAGAATGTAAGAATTTTTTTTATGAAACCGAACAAAAGAAAGCATTCCCTCTATATAATTAACTAATTTATCACGTTGTGAAAATAATAATTTATCACGATTACAAAATATTAATTATATATATATATATATATATATATATATATATATATTTCCATGTTTGTTTTATCTTTAAAAAGATTATACTCATAATAAACAATATTTCCTATCATTACAGGATGTTATATAAATCATTTTGAATATAGTAACAAATTAAAGATTTTATAATTTTTTATATATAATAGCATGTCACTCTTTTTTTTCTCAAAGAACTGATATGAATATTTCCAATCAACAAGATATGAATTCTGAAAATTATAACTGTCAATATTTGAAGTTTCCCTAAAATTAAGATTCTACAGTATGAAAAAATTAAAATATTCCACTAGCTACCTTTTGAACTAAGAAGAGAGAGTTTTGCCTGTTCATCAACCTTGAGGATTATAAAATTTGCAAAGACTGATTTATTTTGAAGATTATTACTTCTATTAATAGTTGTGATGAAAGAATGAGAAAAAGGCTGTGAGAAGTGATAAGGCTGAACTATGGCATAGGTATCCCCTTACCTCGTCCATGTCCTTCCTTGGAGCTCACACCTGTCTTCTCTGCAGTCGTTGATTTGTCTAGGAAAAGAAAATGCTATTTGATTAAAAGGACACTTAGGAATGATTTGCGGCTACTCAAAGTAACTTCCAGTCAAATATTTAAATTCAAGAAAATCAGGATATAGCTTTCATTACAGTGATTCTCATAAATCATGGATATTCCAGATTAAATGGTGCTAAGTTGGTTGCTAGTAACATGCCACCTTATAGAAATTTTGGAACTAATATTTTATTCCCCTGAAGGAGTAGCACTTAATACCAATACTATAAGGAAAATGTAATTGAAACTAAACTAATAATTTCGATAGCAGCATCATTCAATTCCACGGCACCAACCACATTTACTTCATGTCACAAATGATATTGCCGTTTAAAAGGAATAGTCCAGCATGACCAATAAGGACTTAATAACAAATCATTCTCCAAGTATTCTAAGATAGTCGATAACCAGTAGTTAAGATATTATACAACTGAAGTGAAGTATATTATGAAATGAAAGCAACACATTATTACGAAAGTAAAACAGAGCCAAATCATGTACATTCATTCACCTACGCATACAGCTCCAACTGCAACAAACTGAAACCGTGAACCAAGGGGCTAACTTAAGAAGATTAGATCCTCAGTCACTCCGAAGATTGTGAGGGGTGAGAGAAGGAAACGAAGGAATCGATTGTAAAATCAACTTCCTCCCACCTCTGCGAGTAGGAGATGATCCCACGTCACAATTAGGAGAGGAGATCCTCTTGCCATTTGGAGAAGAAGTTTTGATGCAGGTCACAGGAGAGTCATCATCCGGCACGGTTTGCAAAGGCTTTTCAAATTTAGGTTGAGACCGTGGAGCACTTGATTTCCCGAGCTTTTGGCTAACAAACAATCCGGAACTAGAGATGGTAGTAACAAAAGATCTTGGTGGCTTACCCTTAGAAGAAAAGGGTAATGGGAGCAATGATCTATTACATAAAAATGAACCAACATCAATAACGCACATAAATTTTGTCATCCTCAGCTGACAAAAAAAAACAGCATATCAAACCTGGAAATACGTAATGGTGTTGTAGGAAGAGCATGTTCTGGATGGTCTTCGGTATTGTGTGCTTCAATTTTCTGTGAAGCATTTTCCATCACACCCTTTTCACATACTTCTGTTTCTTCTTCGGGCTTGGCTTCTATTCCTGAAGGAACAGAACCTGAACATAAAAAAGAAATCGCCATAAAATATTACCTTTAACAGAACAATTTTTAGAACAGTAATCTAGAGAATAGGGATTTAAAGAGCAAAGTTGATGGTTTTGATTGGCAATGTCTAACTCCAATTATTGCAACATACAAGAGCGACTTACCATCCTTTCTACCATATGTGTTCTTGCATCCTTCACATCTGCAGCTTATGGAGCAACCAACACCACCCTTCAAAATAAAATAACAACTGTTAGTAATTCAAGTTAAAACTGCAACTGGAGGCATCCATGATATAACAATGGAGAAAACCTGATAACATTCACAGTATTTCTTTAGGCAGCTTGATTTCTTGCAATTACATCCTCTTTTGTGTCGTGCTGAAGCTGGAGTTTTGTTAGGGTCATCCTGCAAGGGGAAAAATTGATTAGGAGAAAAGCTGGTTTAAATTTGAAAGTTAAAAATAAAGCTAAGATTTATTTTCTGACCCCAATTTCAGGTACAGAATCAGAACTCCGTATGACTTTAGGAGCAAATGCAAGTGGATTTCGAGACTCAATCTGCTGGCGCGTTTGAAGAACAGTATCAACATGAATAGGCTTGTTGAAGCAATCACGACATGAACAAGGCTCTATGCAGTAGACTCCCGCAGCAAAGCACTCACAATAACTGGTCAAAAATGTAAAAGCTCAATTATAAAGATATTAAAGCCAGATATCTTCTCAAGTTTTCATGTCACAATAACTCGTAACAGTAAGAGAACTCAATGTTAACAAATCTCAAGGAAATTGAGAAGATTCATGTTCATCATTAGTCATAAGCAGGCCAATATAACATGGAGAACCCAACACCCAAAACTTGGCAGAAGTAATTTTAAATTTAGAGTGCAAAACTAGCTGACATTGTTTTCAAAGTTTTAGTCATAGGGACTGGGATTGAAGGATAGTTTCGGAATTACAATATATGAGAATAGCATGAGATTATGTATTAAACTAAATTTAAACTTAAATGCGGAAATGGCTATGGAAAATCATGCCAGCACCAAAATAAGCTCAAACAGAAAAAGTTACAGAAGCACACTTCCTGGATGATAGAATTTAGTAAAAGTAGACTTTTAATTTAAAAGAGAATCTTTCTAAATCATTTTGACTAAGATAGGATCAACTCCTGAGATAAATGTTTAGCGATTGTGTTTTAGTATTTCAAGAGGCAGGTGAAGCACAAAAACCTGACCACTTACACAATGGTAAACATTATTTATACAAAACAACTAGGTCAATCCTTAAATGTTCTAGCCAATCTTTTGAAGACAGAAATGAAACGAGCTTACATAATCCAATAACCAAGATTTTCATGTTCACTGACCATTATATATAGCACCTCTTAGAACAATCATTGATGTATGCACACCAACTGATGCTTTTAACAACCTACTGTCCCTACATATTTAGGCTGTCAATACTTCCTAACAAGTCACTGAGTCATTTCAGATAACATTTAACATGGGGGAAAGGCTAGGTGGCAAAATTTGAGCAGCATGTCTTGCAGTATGGATTGAAATTTAGCAACTATATTTTTAGGTGTACACGCAACTTCTGCAAATGCATTATATAGCTGACTTAGTTAATTCAGCAAATAAGTTCAGTGAAAGTCTTCATCTACATCTTCAACAGCTAGAACTCAATAAAGTCATAACTTCACAAAAAAAGTAGACATTTTTTTTTCCTAAAAAAGAAATCCAAACGACAATAAGCCAGTTCTTTGAAAGAAACTACAAAATTCAAATGTCGTTGCAGAATATGAGATAGTATGCTAAACCAGAAGAAAAGCAGAGTGTTTCTTTTAACTTACAGCTTCAAACACTTTGATTTCTTACAATTACATCGCTTGCAAGACTCCCCTTCCCCATCTGGTTCCAACTTGCGCCTGTAAATCCAGCTTTAGTACCAGGCTAAAGAAGAAAAGAAAAAGCTAAAATATAATGGAATGAAGATAACCAAGCAAACTAGATAATCAACAATTGTACTTGCCTTTTCTTTTTCGGACTATTCTGCTGGAAATCTTCACCAGCCATGTGAACTAAAGATTCGGTACAATCTTCACCAGGTTGAACCTCATTCTCTGATGGCTCCAAATCTTTTTCCACTGATGCAGGTAACAATGATAGTTGATGTTCTTGGCTTGCAGAAAGTTGGGAGGATGAAGAGGAGCTGGGCATATTAGGTTGCCTTCCAGATAACAACTTCTCAATTTTTATGTTTTTGCAATCATTTAAAGTTGCAAGTGCATTCAAGTGCAAACCAATTCCAGGCAAAACACACTTCCGGGAATCCCCACTATGTTTTGTAGGGAGCAGTTGCTTTCCTTTACCAACATTCATCTCATCAGATTTTTTTGTACTGGAATTGGTGTTCAATTTACCATCTATGCTCTTCCTTTGCACACTGGCCATCTCAAAATCTAAACAGCGTCTCCGGATACCTCGGTGTGTCACATAAACAAGCTAAATACAAAGACAAAAGTATTTTTAGATTGATTGTGTGTTCAACAGTAAACATAATTATAAAAAGAGAAAGAAAAATATTCAAGTCTCGGCATAATTTTGTAAACCATCACAAAATATAAAACTTTGTGTATCACTCTACTATGACATGTATTAAGGAATGCAAAATGTAGAAAAAGATCATAATAAGGATTATTTTTTTATAGGATGCTCGAGAAAAGCTCTCATACCCACAGTTCACTGCAAGTAAATCAGACTTAAATTTCCTACCTTATCATCCATTTTCTCATTTGGATTGCTAGCCACCAAAGCAACATTGTCATGATTATCCTGTCTCTGACCTGTGTCTGTGGCTGCTGCTGATTCAGAAGAATGATTTTCAATTTCATGTTCTGAACCAGAAGCAATGGCATTAACACTGTGCATTTGTTGACCATCATTGATGTCAGATTGTGGTAACAAAGTCCTATAATTGGTAAGCTGTGTTGAAGGATTTAATTGTTTATTTATATCCTTAAAAGAATCTGTCACATTTGGGGGGCTAAACATTAACAGTTCAGAAGCTTCAGTAATTAAATCATCCACACCACAATCTGGGCCTTCAATTTTTTCCTCATTATGACATAAACCTGGACGATGCATTTCACCCTCGATTGAATCCTTTTCAGAGCCTTCTGGAATATAGGCAACATCTGATCCTGGCTTGCCCGGCAGTTCCAAAAGAGAGTCAGCTTCATCAGCAGAGAGAACAGGATCATACCCTGGACTAGCCAAATTATATTTCAAGCCTTGTGGAAGCTCAATTGAGATATTCAGGTTTTCATTACATGGCTCAATTGAGGCATCTCTTGTGGAAATATTTGGATTGGTATTTTCCTGTGGTTCACTTGATTCATGACATGGTTGAGTAGAATCTGCGGGAGTCTTTTCACATGAATAAACATTATTGATATCTTCGGATGAAACTTTAGGTTTAGATGCGTCCAAAAGGTTATGCCTAAAAAACAGAACCAAATAAATCATGTCACTAAACACATCCACATTTCTATACTGAGCAATGTAACTTACAATCATCAAAAGCAACAACAAAAAAAAAAATTGCAACTACCTCCTGAGGAATCTGGATTCCCTGTGACAGTTGACATGGGGTGATGTGAAAACAGATGGAGGAGATGAAAAGCTTAGCGAATTGAATGTCTGAGTAATGTGAACAGACTTAACAGGTTCTATAGGAGATAGATTACTGATATAGTTAAATACAGGTGAATCCTGCGTACCACGAAGCATAAAAGTATGATTAAACCAGGTGAAGTAAAACAAAACTTTATGTATGCATACACATCATAAAAGTTCATCCAATGTTGCATTAAGAAAAATCAGAACAAATCAGAAATAGCTTACAAAAAAATCTGTCAACAAACCAGATCACACAGGATTTGCTTTTGTAACAACTTTGAAATGTGCAGAATAGGGCAAAAAAGAAAGCCTAAAATTTTCAAGAACAAAAACCGACAGCAAAATGGCCATTGACCACAAAGCAGAAGAGAGAATAAACCTAAAAAGAAGATCAAAAGGATATTTTTTCACATATTTGGAAAAAGAAAATCAACATAAATTTGAGCAAAAGTCGAATCTGGGGTTAAAAAATTAACTTCCCTAACTAGCATATACTCTCAGAAGCAAACACAAACACAAAGCAAACAAAATTCCTCAAATCAGTCACAAACGCAGAAAGAGTTAAATTAAACATGGAGAGCAATCTAGAACACAGAAATTGAGCCTTTCACTAGCACTTCAACACCAATTTAAAAAGAAAAAAAAAAAACTAAGAAGGTAGTAAAATTAAGGGAGAAAAATTGGGGGTTGGAGCGCGTGCAAATAAGAAAGTGGTAATGGAGATAAACCTCAAACTGCGAAAGAGGATTGTTGATCTTGCTCCTATCTGGTGTGTCCATTGGCAGAGAGGGAGAGAAGAAAAAACAACATTAGTTCCTCTCTCTGAGGTTTGTGTATTGTGTGTGAAATGAGGGGTTCGCTTTGCTTACTTTACTGTTTCAGCGGATTCAAGAATTCCATAGGCGGGAGAACCGATTTTCTCTCCCCTACCCTACCACCCCCACCTTCTGCTATTATTAATTCCTGCTTCTACTGTTGCTATTAACATTATTATTAACTAGTCAAATCTTATATTTTTCATTTAATGCTATTACTTTCTTATATTTATAGTCTAATCAACTTTCCTTGGAGAATCAATCAATATTAATATCATTGGTTGAGTAACTTTTTAAGGTAATTAATAAAAAATTAACATATCAATATAATTTATTCACTATAGTCTGTAATTAAATAAAAATATAAAACTGTAAGATGTACTATAAATAAATATATTTTTATAAACTCAGTAAATTTATTTCTTGGGTACATTTTTAATATAATTTTATTTTTATTATGAAAAGAGGTTGATAATTATCTTTTTAATAATAAGAATAATATAAAAGAGTTCAATTATAATATATATATAACTTTATATCATACTTTACTAACTTCTTAATTGAATAGATTAGTTAAAAATTAATTTGAAATAAAGATTTTAAAATAGGGGTAGACCATATTAATAGAAAAATCAATATTTTATTATAAGTAAATCATTGGTTTAAACTGTATTAATAATGAGTTGTTGTTCTTTGTTCTGCATGTTACCAATGTTGTACAGAACAGAGTTTTACTTATTAAACTGCTTGGTAAAAATAAACGGATCAGAACTTGTGCTGTCTCTTTTTGTTTTTCACTAATGTAACGTATAAGCTATTTATTTATTTTTACATCATTTATTATTTTGTAACTAGTTATTGCATTTGTTTATTGTCATTGGTTGTGTTTTTTTTATTGTGATTGGTTTGTTTAGTAGACTTTTGTGGTCTAGTGGATCATGATAAGATATCAAACTTTCAATAATCACATAGTGGTAATGATATGTGCATATTTTTACTTTATCAACATTGTTTTATTAGACTATTTCATTTATTATTTTTATTTTATGTATTAGTATATATTTTATTATTATATAAAATATTAAATTATAATTTAATAATAGATAGAGATTTACTAAACATAAATACATATTATAAGATATTAAAATAGTTTTAAAAAAGTTTCATTTTAATTAATTTAAATTTTATGATTAAACTAAACCTTCGTACATTTTAAATGATTATAATATATTATTCCTATTCAACAATGTCACTTCACAAATTCCTAATATACTTTATATTTTGAATTTTTATTTTGAAAAAATCTCACTCGTTATTTAAAATAGAGTTTTATATCACCGTATGCGATAAAATAATTTTTAAATTTTTTTCAAAATCTACCTTAGCGACGATATTAAATATTTGTATACATTTACCAATGCAAAATTTATGTAAGTAATTGCAACTTTCTCATGCTATTTTTCAAAAAAACAAATATTTCATTTGTTTCAATACAATTAAAACAAATTCATGAACTTGATTACAAATATTTAATCATGATACATTAAAAACAATTTAGATTACATGATTATTTTTTTATTAGAAAATAATTTTGAGTCAAACACAAATTTGTAAATTATGTTAGTAAAATAAGTTTTATATATCATTTATCTACTACAATTTAGAATTGATATAATTTTTTTACCATTCCTCGTATTCTCAACAATCATATAATAATTTATAATATTTTATACTATGATATATTTTGATATCATGTAAAAAATATATAAGATAAACTTAATATTATAAAATAAATTTGTAAAATAATATTTATAGTTGATTTTATAATTTAATTTATATGAAATTTATATATTTTTTTACAAGGCTAACCTAAACTATATAAACATTTGAAAGAAAATTATGTACATATGTTAATAATAACATGGTTAAGATTTTGAACCTATTCTATTCAGATATATTTAAAATAGTTTTTAAGTATAAATTATTAAATAACTTTTTACTTTGTTCAAAAATAATTTTAATAATTATTAAAACTATTTTTTTAAAATTAAAAAAATAAAACTAAAGAATTATAATAAATTCTCCCATATATATAATTTTATTCTTATTGTTACAATTTAATATAAAAAATTAGAATATTAAATACTAATTAATCAAAATGAAAAAGATTCTAATAAGAAAAAGGTTAGGTAGTGTGTTTTTTGGGCTTTCACTTCAATTCTGTTAGTAAAAAGAAATAATTTTAATATAGATCTTCATTTAATATTCTAATAAGTAGGTACTTAATACTCAATTTTAAATATTACATTAGCAATTTCAGCATATTATTAAAACCTGGTTCCATTTTGTTCACACTGTTAATTTTCAATTTACTAATGTATGCTAATCATGGTTTATTCGTTATTTTTTTTTTAATTTAAACCCTTAAAGTATGATTAAAAATGATAGGGATAGAGATAAACATTATGAAAATTAAATTACAAAAAGATTTTATTTCTGAAAATAAAAGACAAAAAAGATGTAATGTGAACTGAAATAATGAATAGTTTATAAATGTATAAATATTTAATTTTTTTAAAGTAAATCTCAAGCTACTATTTGGTATTGTTTTATTTATTTATTTACTAATTATGATTATTTAAAAACATACATTTTAATTTATATAATGATTAAATTATGTAATAATACGACGAAATATATTTATATATTTTATTTAGAAATAGATGAGATTTTTTTTCTAAATATTTGACTCATTTTCATATTAAATTATTAAATAAAGTAACATAATATTTTATTTAATTAAAAATTGTATTTCAGTTCATGAATGTAAATTTCCATTTTTTACATAAATATTTGAAAAAAAAGGTAAAAAATGATCTCAAATTTAGAGATATTATTTTTCAATAAAAAAAATAATGTATACAAAAATAGAGTTTTACTCTAAGATTATTAGAAGGACTAAAAAGTTTTCTGCTAGATTAAGGAATAATACTTTTTTAGTCAAATTTAATTACTGAAGTTTATAAACCTAACAACTATTCTATTGGATAACCTAATACACTACTCATAATTGATCGCATTAATAAAAAATTTGGTCATATAACTTTTATAATTACAGAATAGAAAAAGTTAAAGAAATAGCATAAAATAAATTTGTTTTTTCACTTATAATTTAAAATTAGTTTTTTAATAATGTAATTTAAAAAAATGATTTAGTTTATCCATATAAACTTTTTCCTTATTTATATGAAAAAAAAATTATTACTATATTTATGATAGAATAACTAATTAGTGTTTTAATATTATAAAGACTAAAAAAGTTATTTTAAAAATTTGATCAATTATAATCAAGTTATTCAAATAGAGAATAACAATTGAAGAAACCAAAGATCACATCATCGTGACCATCACCATAAAATCTTCAGTTATACAAACAAAGAGGTGCGTCTCAGAAATGTCATTTTCCTGATCCACTATTACCCTCAAAAGGGTAAAAGGATCTAAAGCCAGATAAAACAATTAGAAGGGACGCGTTAAGTCACGTGACTCTTAATACCCAATTAATATAAGAGAATAAAATCAAAAGAGAAATAATAATAATAACATAAAGGGTGAACTATGATGTGTGGGGTGTCTTGTAATAATTATTTGGTTTATTTTCATGCGAAATCATATTGTCTTCTATTTAAGTAACATGGGTACTTTCTATGTCACGTGCTATGTGGCTGCCACCCCCCTTTATATATTCCTATTGATTTCATGGTTATTGCTAGTCTTTTTCTACATAAATCATTTGACAAATGTTCCATATCCAACTTAAACCTCGTAGGTTCTATCTGTACTTATAAATACGACAGTATATGTATAATACATGTTCCTGTAGGTATAATTTTAGTATTTAAATTTAAATTTTGTGCTGTGGCATTAGAAGACAAACAAGTAAAGTGTAGACTAAATACAATTAATAAAGTTGACTAAATATTATAATAGAGATTATTTGTCCACCACCAAGTCTTATTTTGTGGATGTTGCTTGTTTCTTACAAGGACTCCATGCAAAGAGAGACAGAAACCTGATAAATTATATTGAAAATTTTCAAAGATCAAGAAGGGTTAAGTGTCCTAGGTTATGACCATATAAATTTTACATCTAGATCTTTCAAGTAGAGAGTTTTATCATATAAAAATCTCATGCAAGAATTATAATTACATGTGTTCATGTATTAAAATTAATATTTAAATATTCTTTCATAGAAGATCAGATCAAATGTTGAGTGGAATATTTTCAAAGTAATTTGGATTTTTTTTTTCTTATATTGCGTGGGCAAAGCAAGTTGCGGAGAAGGTTACATTTTGTCATTCTATTTTACTGCTTCTTTTGTCTTGTTTAATGTATATTCCTTAGAGAAGTTTCCTGAATGGACATTTCGAAATAGGATAGATGCGCGAAATTTTTTCCCAACCATAGTTTTTTTGTTGTTATTCATATATAATAATCACTTATCTTTCGATAAATATATTTTACTATTGAAAATTAAAAATAATAAATACAAAAGTATTCTTATTTTCTATAATTTCAGTCAAAAAGCTTTAATGAAAAAATACAAAATAAAAAAAATCAGAAAACAATTTCTAAGATCTAAATTTATTTAAATAAAATTTGCATAATTTGATTGGACACAATCCTGAGATAATAAACATGTAACAATCTGATAATTTTTTTATTAACATGTTTTTAAATGATTATATTTTTTTCTAGTATTTTTTTAAAATAAATATAAAGATCTTATTTAATATTTTCTTTTTCTAAATTAATTTATTTTAATAAGACATCTTCATATTTTGTTTCTCACATATTCATTTTTTTTCTCTTTGTATATTGTTTTTATTGCTTAAGTTAAGGCCAACAAAAATATTATTTTTTAATATTCTTACGAAACATGTTTAAGAATTTTGAGAACAAGT